GAATCGAGATAACTCTAGAGTGAGAGTTGGTATCTTCCCTGCCTAACCGGTCTTTAGAACTATTCAAACTTTAAATTAGTCAATGTTCTTTATAGCATCTCTAGTAAGGGTAAAGAATATAATTGCTCATATTTGGCACAACAAAATTTGCTGACTACCACAACAGAATTCCTATGCTTATTACAGATTTATGATAAGGAGAAAGATATTTTCAAATTCACTGCTTTTCTTTTACATAAACTCAAGTATCTTTTTAAATTGTTACTGTTTTGTCAAAATATCAAAAACATCAAAAATACCATCAAAAATACCAAAAAAATTACTTTGAATACATCTGAATTGAATTTTAAAAAATACCAAAAAGAATTGAATTTTAATTACTTTGAATACATCTTTAGTTTAAGTAATTATCTTTTTAAAATAGAATATTTTTCATTCAATAGAGCGTATTGTGTATTTTCTTGTGGGTTCAATATTCAGGTCTTAATCAAAAAGTTTTATATTACTTTATAACGATACGTATACTTGCGTAGTATCTCAATATATAAATTAAAGAGTTAAATTCTTATTTTCTTCAGGCTCAAGTTTTGACTCTATTGCAAAGTAAGGAAATATAAGTGAAAATATAATCAGAGACATTGTTATACTATTGCATATAAGTAGTAAGTCGGATCAAGGAGCTCTGGGAAGAATTCGCCAGAGTTTTCCCAAATAATTGGGTCATCCTCAATTTTTGTCGTGGAGGGAGAGATTTATAGCTTAGGCCAAAGGGAAGGCCTTTGGCCCTCATTAGCTTGTGCAAGTAAGCTGTGGTGGAGGAGAATTTAGCGCGGCTAGCCAATGGTAGAGATCCACAAGGGATGGGTCAAATTTTGGAGTGTAAACCATGGTGGTCCTCTCTATTTTGGGTTTTTCGGCCACTAGGGTTGCTGGCCAGATCAAGGTTGGTGGCTAGTTGGCTCAGGGAGGTCAGGGAAAGTTTAATTGTGATAATCTCGGGGCTTGATGGTTCATTGCATGGGTAAGTGGGTTTAGCCAGATTAGGAGGATGAGTTCCCCATTTTGAGAGTTTCTTGGCCAATGACACCAATTAAAGGTTTTAGGTGATGTGATTAGCATCCTAGGAGGTTAACCAAGGCAGGAAAAGATTAAGAATTGGTTAATTTGGATCTTAGGCTCAAAATTAAGGTTTTGGTTAAAATTTGGATTTGGGCTTTGCTTAGGCTTGGATCCAAATCAATTGAAGGCTATATTTGGTTTATGAAAATGTCATGAAGCATTTAGAAAACAAATTTCATAAAATCGGATTAAGGGCAAAGTTCAATTTAATGGGATTTTGATTTAGGGTCAATTTGGGGCATTTGGTTTGTACATAAGATTTAGGCTTGAATTGGGTTCAATTGGGTTGTAATTTGATTTCAATTGGGCTTAGAAATGATGAAGTTTGATTTGTTTTTGAAATTGGGGGAGTTTGAAATCAATTTGGTGGAATTTAGGGATAATTTTGGGAGTTTGGGCATTTAGGGGCAATTTGAAAATTTTGGCCAATTTTGGGAATTTAGGTGTAATTGGGTTCATTGGGTGGTTAGGATTGATTTGGGGGAGATTTTGCTAAGTTTTAGGATATGGGGGGGGTATTTTGGTAATTTAGGGAAATTAGGGGTATTTTAGGAATTTTGAAGAAATTAGGGTGTTTTGGTGAACTTGAATGGTTTGAAGTTGTTCAATATGATTTTTGGATGAAAATTGACAATTTGAGCAATTTTGGGAAAATTAGAGTTTTAGAGGCATTTTGGTAATTTTGAAAAAATTTTGGGGTAGAAGGCCAAGGATGGGTGTTTAAGTGGAATTGAAGGATATTGGATATGCCAATTACGATGATTACCTTCTTTAAGCCATGAGACCCAAGGAGAGAGCCATTTTGGATCCTCCATGTGCTGGTCTTAGCCATCCTAGCCAAAGGCTAAGAGTTTGGGGGACCACCCACATGAGTCACCAAAAGAGAGGGCAAAAGGGTCAAGGTTGAATTATTTTGTGGTTTTGGGAATGTGTGAAAGGGTTCAAATGTTTGTGTGTGCGTAGGTCTAACAAAGACCAAAATCAAGCCACCCAGGGCTAACCCTACAACCTGACACCTATAAGGACTCCTCTAGTGTTCCCCTATGCTGGTTCCATCCCACTAAGTGGTAAAGGGCAAAACCATCCATGTGAAACTCCAAGAAAAGCAAAGATGTGTTCAAAATTTCTACTTGGGTAGGGTTCCATCACTAGTCCTCAAGGATAGTCAACAGAAAAGTCTTATGGCTAGATCCTAGCTTCTAAGAAAGAAAGACTAGAACTAAACAAAAGTGAGGTCAATAGAGTCATGCCATGCCATGCATGATGTCATGAATAAATTCCATGAAAAGGGAAACTTTAATTTTTATGAATATTTGGGGAATATGCCATGATACCAAATTTGTCACGTGATGAGGGAAGAAAATTTATCATGTGGGCTTGGATTTGGTCTTTTCAAATTAATGAAATGGGCTTTTGGAAAGGCATGTGGAGGTAGGCTTTTTAATTATTGATATGAAGATGAGCTTTTAAATGCATGAAAAATGATTTTTTTTAATTTAATCATAGCCTAAGTCAAATGGGTTTGAATTTGAGTAAGATAGGATTTGAATTTTGAAATTGAGTAGGTTTGAAGTGAATTGGGTAGAAATTAGGGTCAAATTAATCAACTGGGTGAAAATTGGGTACTTTGAAATTTAGGGGCAATTTTGGTAATTTTGGTGTATTTAGGTAAATTGTGTCAATTTGGGAATTTTTGGGAGGTTTAGGATCCATTTGGAAGTGTTGTGGCATTTTCAAGAAATTGTGATGGAATTTGACAAATTTGCATAAATGGGGGTATTTCGGTAATTTTGGGTAATGTAAGAGTATTTTGGAAATTTAAGGGGAAATTGGGGTATTTTCGACAATTTGAATTGTTTAAAGTGGTTTGATATGATTTTGGTGAGAATTTAAGAAGTTTGTCAATTTTAAGAATTTTAGGGTTCGAGGGGTATTTTGGTAATTCTTTAGAACTTTGAGGGTAGGACGCCAAGGTTGGATGTTTAAGTGTAATTGGAAGTAATTGGACATGCTAATCATGATATTACCCTTTTGGTGCCATGAGACCAATGGGAGAACCATTCTGGATCCTCCATTTGTTGGTCCTAACCACCCTAGGCAAAGGCTATGGGCATGGGGACCACCCACATGAGTTTCCAAAAGAGTGGGAAAAAGGTCAAATGTGAATGATTTTAGGGTTTATGATCTGTGATATATTGATAGGTTCAGTTGTTTGTGTAAGCCTGACCAAAACAAAGCCACCCGGGGCTAAACCTAAGGTCTTACAACCCTATGGGAGTTCTCTCTGAGCTTGCCCATCTTGGTTCCAACCTACGTTAGAACTATACATGTGAAACTCCAGGAAGAATAAGGAAGTGTTTAGAATTTCTAAGGGAGATAAGTTCCATCACTAAGCTTCTAAAATAGTCGAGAGGAAAGTCCTATGGCTAGATCCTAGGTTCTAGAGAGGAGAAACTCAGACCTCTCCAAAAATGAGGTCAACATAAGCAAAGAAAAGTAAACCAAGATATATAAAAATAAAACCAATCAAGTAAAAATTACTCAACAAATATAACAAGTTATAAAAGGTAAACCTAAATAAAAAAACATAATTAAATCCATAAAATTTGCAAGTTATTTAAAACTTAGAGTGAAAAATAAAATAAAAATCACTAAAACTTAAAATTGAACTTAATTAAACAAATCCGAGGTTTGGGAGGTATCCTTGAATAAAGAAATTTTGGTCTATGTCTGGTCGAACGTTATCATCTATCTCATTGTTTTTGTTCGGGTGCCTTTATATTGTTTTACAAAATCCATCTTTCGAAGCGAGCCTTTGCAGTGGTTCGTTGGATCTTCGAAAGATTTGATCAAGAGTATTTTTATTGTATTGTATTATTGTTTGATATTGAATTATTAGTATTCTTACACTACCTACATAAAGTCATCGAAGAAGAGTAAAAATTTAAAATGTCTTTAAGAATAGATATTAAACATGTAGAGTCTCGTGTAATTTCTTCTACTCTAAAAGTAGAAGAGGAAAAGATTTCCCCACCTCACGAATGGCTCTCCTTATGTATTTGTTTGGGTCGGCTCTCTTATAAGAAGCGGATACATAATTGGTTACATTGAAGACAAAATACATCAAAAAAATATAAGTGTAATGTAATTGTTTGTATTGCATAATAGTACAAGAAAGTATTATCTGGCTATAGAGAAATTCAATGAAGTTCTCAATCTTAAAAAGTTGACTCGTTGAACTAAATTGCCAAATTGATAAAGTGAATTACCTAATAAGCAAGTTGAATCAATATTGGTGTAATGTATGAGTGAATCAGTAGGCGTCCATTGCTGCCATTGTTGGGCGCTAACCAACGCCATTAGTTGCATGCCCATTACTTGTTTGACCACTGCTCGCTGCCCCCGACACCGCCCGCTTGCCACTTAGTGTGGCCGCCAACTTTAAAGAATTTATTTTACATTGAATTTGTTTTTATTCAAACAAAAAAAAAACTGAATAGGGTGTTTATTAAGCCAAACAATTCTAAAAAGATTTCAAATGAAACATATTAATTAGTTGAACATTGCATTCCTTTTATAGCCCAAATCTTTTGTAATATTCTAAACTGCTTGCTTCACGGAGCTTTCTTAAAAAATGACTTGGTTGGCTCAACCAATTGTCTAAGTCCACTTCAAATTAATCTGATAATTAGCACACAACAACTCGTACGTGGAGGATAACTCTCATTAAGTACATAATTTAAACCGTTGAAGCTGGCCTTATCAACGGCTACTCGCAACGGTCAGAATTTCTTAAAAAAGTTTTTCCCCCCCAAAAAACAGATGAAGGATGTTAAGAATTCCTCTTTGTCAATTTGAAAGTTGGCTCTATTTGAAGAAAGCCTAGCAGAGAAGCGGAGACAGAGATCAGACGAATGGGCAAGCAAAACTGGAGATGTAGTACCGAGAGAACTCCCGAGCCCGCCACGCAACTTATATGACGAGAATGACGGGATTGAAGAGGAAAGCATTCGAACTCTCCGTCCTTTGCGGCGTCGACGTGCTCGTTGCCTCCTTCTCGCCGGAACTTAACGCCGTCCAATCCTGGCCGGAGAAGGACTCCGACGAATTTTGCCGGACAAAAGAGCGTTATGTCCAATTTCGTAGATCTGAGATGGGGAGCCAAAACCATTCAACGATTTTTCCTTCCCTTCCGCTGGTTTCACAAGAAATGCTAGCAATGAGGTCTAAACTAATAGAGATTAGAGAGAGGTTAAGCTTCCTCGAAGCAGAAGCATCCCCCAATGCAGCCATGGTTTCTTCCCAATTCCAGCAAGATCAGACAGCACCGCAGGAACAGAACACCATTCCTCTAACTCCTTTTCTTGACGATATCTCCATGGCGATGTATCAAGATTCTTCCTTTCTGATTCACCTATGACGACATCCGTCGATGATTTCAATTGGTGTGACACACTTCTCGATTATGACAAGTGGTGATTTCAACAATATAATTCCATCTATGCTTGAAAGTTCCAAGAAAACCATTCCCGTCATTAGATTTCTTACTTTTTCTTTAGCATATATACTGATCTCTTGTACGGGGTCAATCTATCATAAACTTAGAACACAAAAGTCGTGTTTTTTGCTCTCTCCTACGTACTGAATATAGTATGCTTATAAGTATTCAGCATTCAGTTCTTCTCAGGTTTTTGGAATAAACAGACCGATTGCATCGAACAAAAGGACATTTACATACATACCACCCAAATCCTCTGTATATACTTATCTAACACCTACGCTTTACTTTTTTACCTTTGTACTACACAAGTCTTTCATATCACATCAAAAATATGATTATTTCCATTTTTATAATGTGAAATGGATCTTCTTTCATGCATAGATAAGGTAGCATATATATAAAAAATCAATGTTTAGGTGCAAGATATGTAAATACTAAAGAGGTTAGTGACATATATGTAAATCTTACTTGAACAAACTAATTAAAAAATCTATTATTGATTATTAAGCTAAATTGTTGTTTGGAATAACCAATGAATAACGGGTATAAATACTAATAAAAAGAAATGAATTCTCTTGAATGTTTGTGATGCATGAAAGAATGTAAAATAATAGTATTTATTCTACATGCAGTAGAATGTTTGATCTGTCTGTCATTTCATATCACATCAAAAATATGATTATTTCTATTTTGATAATGTGAAATGGATCTTCTTTCATGCATAGATAAGGTAGCATATATATAAAAAATTAATGTTTAGGTGCAAGATATGTAAATACAAAGGAGGTTAGTGACATGTATGTAAATCTTACTTGAACAAATGAATTAAAGAGTCCATTACTGATAATTAAGCTACATTGTTGTTTGGAATAACCAATGAACATATATCTTTAATATACATTATAAGAAATGAATTCTCTTGAATGTTTGTGATGCATGAAAGAATGTAAAATAGTATTATTTATTCTACATGCAGTAGAATGTTTGATATGTCTGTCATTTCAAATTTGTAACTTCTACTATTATAAACTTTTTTGTTGAACAGGACTTCAAAATCTTGCACGAAATGCGAAAAGTTTTTCTGTTGAATAAGAAGTTGAAAATTTTTTTTTTTTTTGTCGAATAAGAAAAGAAGTAAACTCTGATTAATTTTCATAGGCTCAATGCATTTCATGCCAAACATTCGATGTCAAGTAGAACTCTTCTCCATCAGACCTATCTAAATTAATGTAAGTCATGTCATATATCTTTAATATACATTATAAGAAATTTAATCATTTATTTTGATTGATGCACTTAAATTTGTAAATCAAAATATTGAATGAAGGACAATTCTGAAAACCTTATTTCAGTCCGACCTACTCTTTTCTTTATCTAAAGCAAGAGATTAAGACAAGAGTTGTGTTTGACAAACTTTAAATCTTGGTGAGATAAAAATGCTGAATACAAAGTTCAAAATATATAAAAAAAAAGAATAAATATATCTCATGTTATTAATATGTTGGAAGTATATGTTAAATACAATCATGCTCATCTATATAGGTTGATGCAATAAACCTCAAATTAAGACATGGTATGACAATTAAAAAAAATACTTCTAACATATTAATAAACAATGAGCATGATTGTTTGCAATTGGTATGACAATTAAAAAAAATACTTCTAACATACAATGAGCATGATTGTTTGCAAAGAGTGAATTTATAATTATCACGCTTGCAATCATTCAGTATAACATATTTCTTACATAATTACTTTGCATTCTCACTTGTCATAGTCTTAAAAATATCATGTAATAGTCATTCATGTTTTGGCGCATATAAATGATTGTCATCTAACTCATTATCCTGTTATTGTAGTTGATAATAGAATCATCTTAATATAGCAAGATAACACTTATTTACACTGGTGTATAATTATTGAGTTTCAGGAATCCTGTTTGTCTCTAAAAATTGCCCATTTATTGGTGATTTTGTCATTCCCTATGTAAGTCATCATAAGTTATTAAACTTTCCCATATGGCTGACCTTTCTTATATTTTCTCTTTAGCGACAATATCATACTTTATGTTACATATACTTGTTATGCATATGGTGTCACTAATTTTTATGAACTATATATCAGGCATGACACTTGCACACTATGAGAACATAAAATTATTTTTAACAGATGAACATGTGTAATATATTTAACTTATTAATAAAATTAGATACTATTAACATACTCATTATGAAGAAATGACTATTGGCATAAATACGCAAGTCTAATTTCCTTATAAGAGATTATTAAATAATAGACTTAAGTTACTTCATCATTTATATTTGAGATGAGTGCCTCTGCACAAATATAAGATCATTCTTAGAATAGGGTTCCTTGCACACATCACTTTGAAGCCTTCGTATTTTATACACGGATCTAAGAAAAACTTCAATTTTTCAATTTTGTAGCTGTTTCTTAATTTAAATAAAAACTAATTCTAAATGACCTCAAAAATAGCAAATTAGAAATAAATTAAAATATTACTCATTATAAAAACCTGCAGACTTACTAAATTTGAACTTAACTCAATATACTAATGAAAATACAAAAAAGAAAAAGATAAATTTTACCCAAATCAAGTTTAGTTGTTAGATATGTAATGCTATTTTTGATGTGATACAAAGGATCTTGGTACTATAAACATAAAAACAAGTATTCATATATATGTAACAATTTATATAATATAAGTATTGTGAGGTTGTACGTCTGCATTGATTTAAATAGGTATGCAAATATAATAGTTATATACATGTGTAGTTAATAAAATTAGGTTAGGCTTGACTCAATTCAAGTTCTATTTGATCTATCCTTGATCTATATTAGAGGCGTTGACATCAAATCTAGCTCAAATCGACCGAAATTTTAAATGATTTGCAATCTCAAGTCAAAATCACCACCCTATATGTATGTGGGGAGATAGGAGAAGTTTGAGTGAAGTAAAAAAAAAAAAGATTAAAAATGAATGAATGGTTCACCAAAACAAAAAAAAAAAAAAAAAAAAAAAAAAAAAACTTAGCCAAGAAGTAAAGGTACAAATTTAAACAAAAGATGTTGGAATCAAATCTCTCCATGCATAATTATATTCTATTAAGAAGCCAATATCATAAAACTTGCATTCTATCGAACAACTCCCTTAGGGTGCGTTCTTTTCAGCTGTGGTTGTATGGATTCTTATTTAAAAGTAGTTGTAGAAAATTTTCTGTTTAAAAACTAGTGTTTCAGAAGCAATTGATCTGTTAGAAAATTTCTCTTTTGAAAGTATTGTTTGTAAATAATTTTCTGAAATACCCTTCTCCTCATGTTATCTAGAAAAGAGTTAAAATGAAATAATATTATATTTTTTTTTGTGGTTAAAAAAATTTTTAAAATATATTTTTTTTTAGTCATGTGCAAAATTTTGATCGAATTATTTGTTGCGTGTATATATATATATATATGGCGGCAACACTTGCTCTGCTAGGGTTTCGAAACCAATGGCTGCTCATCATCTTAAAAAGTTTTTGGTGATTTGTTGGGCTCTTGTTGTTGTTATTTGTACAATTGTTGAATTTCCTGAGTATTTGGTTGCTCTTGGTTGGCATTTTGTTGTATTTTTGTGTTACTCGGGTTCCCATTTTTTAAACTTTGTCGTTACTCTTACATTGGTTTGTAGCATCCCTGCTCTCGGCTGCCTCCCTTTTTGTTGTTGTTGGCTTTGCCTTGGGCCAACCTCCTTTTTCCCTCTTAGGAATACTACTTTTTTCCTTGTTTTCGATATTGCCTTCCATGGAGGCATCTCTGAAACAGGCTGACCCCCATTTTTCGGGGAAATCTACCTATGTTGATGTTATTGTTTCTGGCTCTGGAAGCTTTATGTCAGGTGACAATCTTTTTTTCTCACAGCCCTACCATGATGCAATGGATGGTAATGGGGAGAGCTATCTGTTTGAAAAAGGCTCAAAAAAGGGTGGTAAACATGCCCTTATCTTTTCAGACTCTAAAGTTTTTGACCTTTCTGCTAAATGCAAATTTACCTTGATTGGTAAATTTTATTTGGGCGTCCTTAGAATGGAGGCTACTAGGAGAACCTTTGATGATTTTAAGCCGATTGATGGTGAAATGTGGGCTTGTTTGACACAGGCATGTCATGATCCAATTATCAATGGAAGAGAACTATCTATGCATGAATTTTCTCCAAAAAGCTTATCTATATTGATGGGCATACAAATGAAGCTTTTAAAATGGCACCTGATTTTGATCCTGGCAAAGAACTTCCTATTATCCCTACTTGGCTTAAACTCCTCGATTTAAAGCACTTTTTCAGCCACTAAGTACTTTTTTTATTGGTGCCCTACTGGGTAGGCCAATGAAGCTAGACATATCCACTTTTAATCTATTTAAGCTATCAGTTGCTTGAATCCTTTTAAAAGGGATATCACTCTCCCACCTATTGATGAGGTCGAGTTGGGCATGACCGATAATGGTTATTGACAACCTATTTTCATGGAGTAGAAGTCATATTACTGTACATATTGTAAGATGTTTGGCCATACAAACCAAAAGTACTACAGGCTCTACCCAACTCTAAAACCACCTAAGAGTTCTCCTCTGCCCCCTGAACCTTCTGCTTTCGCTCCTATGGTTATGCCTAACCTCTCAGATCTAATTTTGGCCTTTGTTGCTGAGGATATCAGGATTGATACTAAGATTAATGTGTTAAGGGATGATACCATTTTTTCCCAGATGTTTAACTCTACATCAGAGGCCCAGATCTTTTCCCATGTTGAGGAAGTTGTGGCTAATTATGTTGAGGAAGTTGTGGCTGATTTGCAACACCTACCTGTCCCCGTTGGGGAAGATGTGGGCCCCCAGATCTCTCTGTGGCACTCCCCCTCAATCAATTGCAGAGATGCAGCATTCCCT